CTGATGAGACTGAGGAGGAATGGCTGAAGAAACTCAGTTTTAATGGAGAAAATGTGACGTTCAAATGACACAGGAGCTTCAGTCACAGCGGTTCCAGCTTCTATGTATTCCGAAGTGCGGGATGGCAGCTTGCTGGCACCTTCTAAAAAGATTAAAGGTCCTGATAACTGCCCTTTAAAAGTCCTGGGGGTCATGAGAGCACACATCAAATCTGAAAAAACAGAAACAAGACAGGATGTGTATGTGGTGTCAAACCTAGTGATGCCTTTAATGGGACTCCCTGCCATAATAAAGCTGAACCTGATAAAGCAGGTGGCTTCAGTCCAGCAGATGAAAGAAGCAAGAAAAATGCCATCAGTACAAAACTATGTTCCCAAAAGTGTTTACAGGCCTTCGGAAGCTGGAAGGGGCATATAAAATAAAACTGAAAGAAGGAGCGGTCCCCTATGCTCTCTCAGCCCCACGCAGAGTCCCTTTACCTAAGAAAGAACAAGTAAAACAAGAGCTAGAGAGGATGGAAGCAATGGGGGTTATAAGGAGAATCGAGGAGCCTACCGCATGGTGCGTCGGGATGGTGGTGGTTCCCAAGCCAAACAAAAAACCCCGAATTTGTGTGGACCTCACTCGACTGAATGAAAATGTGTGCAGGGAACGTCACATCCTACCTGCAGTGGATGATACGCTGGCTCAGCTGGAAGGGGCAAAAGTGTTTTCTAAATTAGATGCAACATCTGAGTTTTGGCAGGTGCCTCTACACAAAGATTCCCAGCCATTAACAACTTTTATTACCCCTTTTGGCCGATATTGCTTCCAGCGACTCCCTTTTGGCATATCGTCTGCACAAGAACATTTTCAGTTCAGGATCTCACAGATCATCGCAGGAGAAAAAGGAGCGTTGTGCCACGCGGATGATATTCTAGTGTTCGTCAAAGACAAAGCGGAACACGACGAACGGCTACAGCAGGTGCTTAAAAGATGTGAGAAGGCTGGCCTAACTCTCAATGAAAAATGTGAGTTTTCGGTGGAGAGAGTGACGTTTCTAGGACACAACATAAGTGCAACAGGAATCGAGGCAGATCCGGATAAAATCAGCGCCATTGAAAACATGCCCGAACCACGAAATGTGGAAGAGGTCCGCCGTTTCCTGGGGATGGTGAATTATGTCGGCAAGTTTTCATCCAGCCTACCAGCCCTCACGAAACCTCTGCGAGACCTGCTAAAAAGTGACAGCACATGGACGTGGGACGCTCAACAGAGGACAGCGTTTGAAAAGATAAAAGAGGAACTGAGCTCTCCCCCAGTGCTGGCACAGTATAGTCCCAAAAAGGAAGTGAGACAGAAGTCTTGTGAAAATGAACAAGTGGCTCCGTGGTCTTCATTTAATCAATTAAAGACTTCTACATGGTGTCAGCAGACGCATCCTCATATGGACTCGGAGCGGTTCTTTTACAGCGGCAGGCGGACGACAGGTGGAGACCTGTTATGTATATATCACGGAGCCTGACACCCACATAGGTACAATATGCCCAGATTGAAAAAGAGGCTCTTGCTGCAACGTGGGCCTGTGAACGACTCAGCTCATACCTGCTAGGTTTGGAGTTCACAGTGAGAACCGACCACAAACCTCTGGTCTCCCTGTTAGGTTCTCGAGCCTTAGACGACCTACCACCAAGAATCCTAAGATTCAGGCTCAGACTGCTGAGGTTCAACTACAAAATTATTCATGTCCCTGGCAAACAGCTTGTCACAGCAGATGCTCTCTCCAGAGCTCCTCAAGGACTGGAGGACAGAGAAGCCAATAGCAGCTTGCAGCAGGAATGTTGTATGCATGTTGACCACATCCTACGACAACTTCCTGCCACAAAAAGTAAATTGGCTCACATCATGGACGTTCAAAGCTCCGACAGCGTTTGTAAACAGCTGAAAACATTTACTGAAAAGGGCTGGCCCTCCAACAGGAGGAACGTCCCAGAGCACCTTCTTCCATTTTGGCCCGAAAGGACTGATATTCATCTGGCGGAGGGCCTGCTTCTCAAAGGCAAGAGGATTTTGATTCCAGCATGCATGCAGACAGAATTGTTGGATAGGTTGCATGAAGGGCATCAGGGGGTGACTAAATGTGTGGCACGTGCACAAGAATCCCTGTGGTGGCCGGGGATAACACGACAGATCAAAGACATGGTGGAAAGGTGTGAAATCTGCTGCCAGTTTTCACAATCAAAGACAGAGCCACTGATGACTACGCCTCTACCACCACGCCCTTGGCAAAAAGTAGCGGCTGATATCTTTTAGTGGAGAAACAGTCATATTGTGGTTGTGGACTACTTCTCCCGATACATCGAAGTAGCCAACCTCCCATTCCTCACAACAGCTACAACGGTGGAGCGGCTGAAGGTGATCTTTGCAAGATTCGGTGTGCCGGAATGCCTGGTGACGGACAATGGCCCGCAGTTTGCTTCCTCTGACTTTAGTCTGTTTGCCCAGGACTATGGTTTCCGGCATGTGACCAGTAGCCCTCGTTACCCTCAGAGCAACGGGGAAGCAGAGAGGGCCGTCAGGATGGTCAAACAGCTGCTCAGTAAAAGTCCAGACCCTCAGAGGGCTCTCTTAGCCTACAGAGCTACACCGTTAGCTCATGGACTGAGTCCAGCGCAACTGCTGATGGGGAGGCAGATAAGGTCCACAGTTCCCACCACAGCACAAGCGTTGAATCCAGCCTGGCCGAACCTTGGAGCCTTCAGGAAAAGGGATAAAGAGTTGAAGGAGAGGCAGAAGAATTTTTTCGATAGGAGCCATAAGGCCAAAGACTTACCAGTTCTGAATCCGAGCCAAAGAGTGTGGATTAGAACATCACAGTCCACAGCTACGGTCCAGAGTCCGGCCTCAACTCCAAGGTCTTATGTAGTGGAAACCGAGCGAGGGAGTTTTAGAAGAAACAGGGCTCACCTGACTGTACTCCCTGAGACAGAGCTGCCCTGCTCTGAGGAGCCGGTGTCAGACCTGACACAGAGACTCCCAGGTACCACTGTGACCAGGTCGGGAAGGGTTTCCCGCCCACCGGAGAGACTGGACTTGTGAATATTCTCGTTTTAGTTGACCCTTACATTTAAAAACAAAAGGGTGATGTTTCTAAAACAAAGGTGTTTATGTTAGATTATATTGTTAAACAAAAGAGTTGAAAATGCTTGGACTATAAGTCAGGTTTCTGTTAGAATGATACTGTTATGTTGGGTACACGGTTATCTTACAAGTAGAGTTTTTCAAGCTAAAAGGGGAGGTGTAGAGGTGTTCAGGATGGAGCCTCTAGGGGGCGCCTTGGGACTGATAGTGAGAGGAAAAAGGAATGTGTGCCGAGGCGGGAAAAGAATAAAGGAAGTGAGACAGAAGTCTTGTGAAAATGAACAAGTGGCTCCGTGGTCTTCATTTCATCAATTAAAGACGTCTACAGCACCAAACCAAGGTACGTCTGAGAAGGAAAAAGATTAAAAGTACAACATGGCAGTGCAGTGCCTGATCGACTTCGTTGAATGATTATTCATGAATTCATTTGCTTTTTGTGAATGTAAACTGAACTCGCTCGTATTTTTGCCCATAGACATAATAGTCCTCGATAAAGCCTTCCCATTAGGGATGGACAATATATCAGCATCAATATCTTTATCGGCCGATGTTAGTCATTTTTAACATATCGGTATCGGTCCGATAAATGAAACCAGGCCGATATTAACAACCGATATTTTTTCCTTCTTGTCTTCATTTGTTTGCCCGTTTCAGAGGGTGAGGGGGGTGATGTGTATTTGTTTAGTCATGTGACAGTGATGGTAATCATCTCAAGACCATTAATGTGTGTGGTGTGTACATAATAAGGGAGATTCAGCTTTTTTCAGCGTTTTCACAGTTTTTTTTAAGAGTCACAAGAGAACATTGCGCTCTATGATGATGTCAACGCCAAAGCTACCAAAACAAAGAGGAAACTCACCTCTTACATCAGGAAGAATCTGCGCGTTTCGAGCGTTATCCGTTCTTTCATAATCTGTTGTTGAATTGTGATCAGCAGAAGCTTTTCCGGTTCGCGCCTCACTTTTTTTACAGCAGCAGCCCAAATCGATCTCCTAACACATGGATTTTCTGCTTCCTGATCACGTGACATGTGACATATGCGGATGAAGATTGGCTTTAGAGTTGAGATGTTTGTTCTCACGGTGCGGGGGCTCGTTCCATTGCCCACACAGTAAAAAATGTAAATGGCGACTTTATGAATGAGTTAATATCGGATATTGGAATCGGCCCAAAAATTTCGTATCGGTGCATCACTACTTCCCATTTTCCTCTAAAAGACGGCTATGAAGCCAAGTGGACGGTTCATACCATCGCCATCTTGGCCGTGTCACACATCTCGCCACGCCCAGACAATCCAAAAATAGGTGGAGCTGAGAGAGTGGGAGCAAATAATTGACACATAAAAAAGTTGAACTAGCACTGAGCTAACCTCTGAAGCTAACGCAACGCAATCAGAGCAACAGCGAAAACAGAGGAAATCCAAATTTTCTTGCATATTTTTATTAAAAAGGTAATGCAATAGTTACTTTTCCTGGTAATTAGTTACTTTTATAATATTGTAACTCAGTTACTTTTTTGAAGAAGTAACAATTAACTCTAATTACTTTTTAAAAGTAGCTTTCCCAACACGGTGTAAAACAGACCACGCCACCTACATTGCTTCTCTGCTGCAGTTACACCCCCACAGTCCTGTGCTACATCACTCTCATCGTCACATGCCCAAATACCACGTGGCCAAGCCCCTCCCCCTCCTGATACACACACACAAATGGCAACTAGATGGAAATAAACATTGACTGGTATTGGTCCAGTTTTATTTATCGGACCAACACCAGTATGTTAAAAGATGATTAACATCGGCCGATATCAATGTCGATGCAGATATTTCGTTCACCTCTATTCGTGATTTATAAAAAATAAATAAAGGGATGCTGCAGCACCTGATATGTAGCATTGAAGCCGTGTCCGGGGCTGTGAGGCTGAGCCACATACAGTACGCTCATCTTGCCTTGGCTGGACTCCAGCAGCACAGGACGCCTGTTGTTGTGATTAGACAACACCTGTAGAAGATGCTCTGCGTGCTGCAACAGGCCATCATAGACATGCAGCAAATCTCCAGGCCCCAACTGAAGGTCCAGCTGCAGCACTATGGGCTTGGTGTCCTGAGTGTCCAGCAACCAGGAGCACCTCAGCTCAGAGGAAGAATCCTGCTCAGCATGGAAAAAGTCCGGAGAGGCAAAGGAGCCATAAAATTTCACGAGTCTTTTCCCACAGCTGGTGTCGAGGCAGCCAAGCTCATCGCTTCCATCGGGGCAGTCTCGGGCGCCGTTGCAGCGCAGAGCGGCTGGCAGGCAGCGAGTAGTCTGTGCCTCTGTGCATGGCAGTGAGCCAGGGGAGCAGAGGCCAGGGCGGGACTCTGTGGGAGGAGGAGAGCAGCCTCGCTCATCTGTGGCATCGCCACATTCATTCTGCCCGTTGCACTTCCAGGAGCGAGGAAGACACTTCCCGTTCCCACACAGAAACTCATCTGACTGACAGGTGCTCTGACCCAGATGGCCTGCAAGAGGACAAGATGTTCAGACAGAAATCCATCAGTCAGACAGCAGGTCTGAAGCTGACTGCACTGTTAATACCTACCCCTGATGTAGGAGAGGCGGAAGCCCTGGGCTTGCCCAGAACTGTTGGCCTGAGAGTGGAAGTTAAGCCACAAATGCCCCCGGGTGGAGATGAAGGGAGGAGGTAGCACAGAACCACACAGTCTGGATTCCCCACTCCAGGTGGGCGCCAGGATCAACCAGTCTCCCAGGCATTTTCCTGACTCTGCTACGTCAAAGTTACGGAAACTAGAACAACGAATTGATCCAGTTAGAGGTCTGTGCAGCGGAAAGAGTGAGCAGCAGATATTAGGTATGGTAGTGCTACCTGATGGTGATGACTTCTCCTTGACTTCCCTGGATGTGCCAGCTGCAGTTGAGCCCTGCTGGGTAGTTTAAAGGCCAGGAAGGGCTGTAGATGACACCCCTCCGCTCTGTGTGAACCTCCACCTGTTCACTGCAGCCTGCTGAAGAAAACAGAGGAACACAAACTCAAAGCATTGGTATTAAAACACACTTCTGGGCATTCCTTTACACAGTAATAAATTTACCCCAAATATTAATTATAATAAAGTCCTCATGGGACTAATGACATGAGATTTGTGGGATTGCTGGTGGCTAACAGCAGCAGGAGTTTAACCAGCAATCAGAGCAACAGGCTCTACAGCTGCTGCACTTACACAACAACACCCGTGTGTTCAGTCCAGCAGGAGCTCCAGGCAGGGAGAGATCTAATACCAAAACTTCTGCAGAACAATTAAAACACAGAGACCTGTCTCAAATGTATCCAAAATGCCTTAAAGGGATATTCCACCCCTAAGTGAAGAGCAGTCTGTTTCCATATTTCCCAGAGTTAGATAGGTTGGGAGAGGAATTTTGTAACGAGCCCAGTCATTCTCCTAATCTGGCAGTATTCTCTCAGTTTTACATTAGCATCAACAATGTAAGTGAATGGTGAAAGCTAGCATTTCGTGTGAAAAAGTCGTGAATATTACTGGGTAATGATCCTAGTTTTTCTTGATGACTACAATAATCCCACTGACACGAGGGAATTACAGGAAGACAAAGACAAAGCACTGCTGTAAGCCGCCGCTGCAAGGCACAAGGACATAGCGCAGCGGTCCCAAATCTTGCAGTTTACCATTATTAAGAGAAATATTGTAAATGTTGTACGGTTGACATGAAGATGACAATGTCTGAAAGACGTCACTCCACTGTGGCGTGGCCTTGCGTATTGCAGCGGAGGCTTAAGCCTGCTTTATACTTCTCTGTCAGCTCAAGTTTGGAATCCCGCAAACGCACTGACAGAAATGTTTTCCCTTCAGACTTCTCTGTCACCTGGGGAATGTTGCAAAACAATTCCCCTCCAGGACCCCAGAGGGATTAGCGCTTTTGTGGAGTACCATGCCTCCATTACAGTCACATATCCTGTACACGACAGTGTATTTTCTATTGTGTTTACACTGTTTTAATTGCATAGTGAACTAGACCAAATTCTTGCTTTGCAAAGTTTGGTCTAAGAACACTCCACTGGAACCTCTGCTGCCCCTAGCACAGAGATCACTAATAGGCGGACCTGGGTCCGGATCCGGACCGAAATGCTGTCTGGTGTGGACCCGAGCCTAATGCCAAAATAAAGTTCGCCTAATTTTATAACCGCTTCTGGCCGGTGCAGCTATTGCATTCTTTACGGTAGTATTCTAGCATCCACGAACACCCACAGGCCAATTGTGCGCGAGTTTAGTCAGACCACGTGACACCAACAAGCCAATAACATGTTTTATTCCTGCCAGAAAATACAGGCGATACGTAGCGAAAATAAACGGTTCAGACGCCGGAGAGAAGGAGAGCAGCGAAGAGCAGAAATTTGAACAGAGAAAACGAGAGATTCAGGCGGAGAGCGGTGGAAAGAAGGAGACATTCAGGCTAAGAGCAGCGACAAGGAGAGATTCAGGTGTAAAGGAGGAGGAATTCAGGCAGAGAAAAGGAAAGCGGCGACAGGCGACAAGGAGAGATTCAGGCGGGTGAGACGGAGAGAAGTAGAGAAAGCAGAAATGGCAGCCTCTAAAAAACGGAAAGTGGACAGCGAAAACAGAGCATTTAATCCAGAATGGACAGAGTCATTTCTCTTTGTTCTTCCCACTGGTGGCACAAAACCTGTTTGTCTCATATGTTCAGAAACAGTGGCACTTATTAAAAGTGGCAATGTGAAACGCCATTATGAGACAAAACACAAATGTTTTGAAGAAACATATCCCCTCAGATCAGAAGTAAGATCAGAGAAAATACGTAGTCTCAAAGCCCAATATGAACAGTCCACCAGGATCCTGAGCCACACGTTCACTGCTCAGCAACGAGCCCATGAGAGTTCCCTCAGAGTTTCTTGGATTTTGGGTCAGCACAAAAAACCATTTACTGATGGAGAGGTTGTCAAAGAGTGTATGACAGCAGTTGCTGAAACACTGTTTGAAGGAAAAGAAAAACAAGAAGTTTGTGAAAAAATAAAGCAAATCCCCATATCAGCATCATCTGCTACAAAGAAAAGTGAAATACTGACTCAGGATGTTGTAGCCCAGCTAGATGAAGCCATACAGAAGGCACCATGTGTAGGTTTGGCTGTGGATGAGTCCACTGACGTGTGTGATAATGCTCAGCTGTTGGTTTATGTGAGGTTTTATTACGCAGAGCAGAAAGCATTCTATGAAGACCTGCTGGGTATTACTCCTCTTCAGACCAGCACAACAGGAGAGGACATCTACCTGGCCATTATGGAGATGTTGGCAAAGAGAGGAATTGAGCCTTCAAAAGTGATTTCAATAACTACAGATGGAGCCCCTGCTATGATAGGGAGAGAAAAGGGAGCTGTAACAAGAATGAAGAAAGACAACCCTGACCTCTTAACCTACCATTGCATTATTCATCAATCTGTCCTCTGTGCCTCCCTGTCAGATGAGCATGCTGGGGTGATGACTTCAGTGATGAAAATGATCAACTTTCTTAGAGCGTCCTCTTCCTACCAGCATCGCATGCTTAGAGAATTCCTCAAAGAAGTTGATGCCAATGCTGATGATCTTCTGCTGCACAACAATGTGAGATGGCTCAGCAAAGGCAGAGTTTTAGCACGCTTTTGGGCCATTAGGAGGGAAGTAGCATCTTTTTTGGCAGAGCTAAAACATCATAAGGCAACACAGTTTTCTACATTTCTAGAAAATGAGAAGCAGATGGACAATGTTGCCTTTTTGGTTGATATAACTTCACATCTAAACGAACTGAACTTGAGGCTACAGGGCAAGGACAATTCCATTTGTGAACTAATGACAGCTGTCCGTGCCTTTCAGAGAAAACTTGAAATGTTCAAGGAGGACTTGCAGGAAGACTGTGTCCACTTCCCAGCAGTGCAGGAACAGGTTCAGGGACAGCGAGATGTCTCGTCGTTTGTTGCTAACTTCAGCAATCGTTTTGATAGCTTCAGCATTGGCCAGCAGCTCACCATGTTCATTCAGAACCCATTCCTCATCACAGATGTCAGGAGCTTCTCAAAGGAAGCCACACAGCATTTTAAATGGGTCAATGCCAGGGATCTTCAGATGGAGTTAGTTGACCTCCAAGCAAACGTGGCCATGAAAGAACTGTCTGCCAGGACTGACCCGTCCTCATTCTGGCTCCAAATGGTTCCTGAGACAGCTTTCTCACATCTAAAGAAAGTAGCCTTGTACATCCTGACCATGTTTGGTTCCACCCACAACTGTGAGGCAGCGTTCTCCACAATGAACATTATAAAAAACAAATATCGTTCCAGGCTCACCAATGAGCATCTCCACACATGCATGAGGATGGCTCTGTCTCCATTCAAGCCCAGGTTCAAAATGTTGGCAGGACAAGCAAGAGCTCACTTCTCTCACTAAGTAAAAATGTGGAAAACATTAACCTAAATATATGTTCAGTTATTACATGTGTGCAGAGTCACATTTTTTAAAATCATTTTAAGACTTTTTAGTTCGCACGTGAAGAGGAAAAATGTAAAAAATTAAGCTTTTTCTACATTTATTCTGAAGTTAGTAGTTTGTGAAGATTCAGTTGCCATGTGTTATTTTCTTGTTGACACTTTTTTCTACTTTTATTTAGTAAATGAGAGAACATTCCAAATAAATCATTTACATGTTCAACACTTTAAGTGACAATAAATGTCATAAGTATTTGAATTACACTGAAGTATTTCTGATTTGATATGCAAATTAATAATGCAGATGTTGATAAAACTGCTAGGATACTTAAATACATGTCACACTATTGTAGGTCGGACATAATGATCTTTCGGACCTTGGGCTAAAAAAATTCTTTCTGACTGGACCTTTTTAAATAGTATTTGTATACCCCTGCCCTAGCAGCATTCTGGCTGGCCAATAACAGCTCTCTAGGGGGGTTTCAAATGCATAGAGAGCTGTGATTGGTCCATAAAGGTGGGCCAATCATAGCGCTCTATCTACTTTGTGGGACAATTACAGCGCTTTATCCGCTGGTGGGTGGGACAATGCAACAAAGTGGAACAGGACAGCGACAGCTCGTTTGAAAACGCTTTTATATCAATTTTGGACTATTTGGACTTGGGCTTTATTAGAATCAGAAGCAGATAGATATATTTAAGTCCTTTATTTAGAAAAAGAGGTGTATTTTCGCCTTCTTCAACAGCAGACCACCTCATTTACCGACATCCGTTGCGGAGAGTACATCACATTGTTCATTGTCTAGTAGCATGTGGAGATCATTTGAAGAACAACGGTAGAACCCGCCCCATGACGAGAGCTGTCAATGGAGTGTTGCCAGGCTACTGTTTGAATGTATTTCTGAGACTTTTTAACATGAACAAATTGTCCCTAATTCCCCTTCACCTCTTCATGTGATCGGCACCTCCAAACCCACGTTTCTCGTCATTTCCATCCATGAATAAAACACTTGCTATGTGTTTTTGTACTCCTTCAGTCATGGATAAATAAATGTTTATATTTTCAGACTTTTTCCGTGAGACGTTCTTCAATCTGTGCCACGTCTGCCGCTAAATATCTTTATAGTTTTTGAGCGGGCAATGGCGGTGCTGTGGACGAATTTAAAGGAAGTGCCGTCCTGACAAATAACAAGCTTGCTTTCTCCATCACTTTTGACAGATAACTGAAAAGCTGAGCATGTCTCCGTCATCCTCTGCGGGTCTGTCACAGAACCATTGTGCCGATGCATAATGGCTTTAAGTGTCTCCCACGCAGACGGGAAGTATAAATGAGCCTTAACACTGGAGCTTTGTTGAAATGCAGTCCCAAATCTAAATTGGCTCCATAATCCCTTCCTGTTACTTATTATTTTGATATGATTTTTGACATCACCAAGAAAAATTAGGATCATTATTATGTAACTTTGTTACACAAAAGGTAACGAACACCAATTTAATGGTTTTATTTTGCTCTTATTTTTGCCATTTGTTTTAATCGACTGGACTAATTTTATTGCCTTTTATAATTTTTACTATTTTATGATCCTATGATTTGACCTTGTTCCTATGCCCATGTAATGGGCATATTTTTAGTATTTTTTTTTCTTGCATGATGGTGTTCAGCACCTTAGGCTTCCAATAAATATGTGGAAGGTGCTTTATAAATAAAACTGACTGATTGACAGAATGCTAGCTAAGAAAACTGTCCTCATGAATTGGGAAACCAGTATAGAAATCTTTTGTTGGATCATAATACACTTGATACAGCCTCTGCTTCCATTTCAAGCCAATCTCTCTGGGCTCCTTTGATCGGTTCCATCACATAGCAATGATCGGGGGGTCATTGATACTGTCCTGCGGGATGATGTGGGTGATGGGGCAGAGGGTCTGAGTTTGGGGTATCCAGATGTTCCCTGGAGGTGGGTTCACTGGGGGGTGTCTGGGGCTTGGGGGCTGTGCTACTACACATCTTTGCCTACCCTCCCCCTGCCACATTTGGTGTGGAGTATGGTGCCTTGGTCTGCCTGAGTGTTTGCGGCTCCGGGTCAGGGGGTTTAAGGTTTTTGGAGTCTGCCTGATCAATCTCGGTGGCTGCCTGGTGGGATCTGAGTCCCTGGGCTCTGTTGGGTACCCGGCGGGGCTGGTCGCCCCTGGGTCCGGGGTCGCTGGGTTCCGGGCTCAGCCGGCTTGGGGTTCGGTGGCTGTGAGCGGGCCTGTGGGCTTGCCGCTGATATCTCCCGGCACTCTGCCGGCTGCTGGTTGTGACCTCCCGGGGCAATCCTCTGCTCCTCTCGAGGGGGGCTGGGGCTTTTCTTGTTACAGTCTCCCTGGGGTCCCTGCGCTCTGGGACAGCTCCTGGATCTCTGGGACTTGGAGCTCTCTTCATCTCCTACACATCTTTAGGAGTGTGAGGGGCCTTCTCTGTGGCCCCTCACACTCTTTATTGGATGCTCCTATAGAGAAACCTTACATGTACAAGCGCGTGTACACACACAGGTGCTCACATGGTGCCCTAATAAGTATGGACTTGGGCATTTTCAACACGTCTTAAGACTATGGTAGGCACTAAATGCACTGTGATTTATTATTGTGTGATTGTTCAGTAAAACAATGTTGATTATATATTTCCTCATCAGGTTGACGTAGTGATAGTTTGCTCCTGTTGTATTGTTGTGTGTCCCCTTCTTTTTTTTTTTGTTTGTTTTTCTCTTTCTGCAGGTCTAGAAGCAGACTCTTGTTCATCATTGATTGTTTATTTTTGTGGAAACCCCCCCTCCTCCTCCTCCTTTTGTTTCTTCCTTGCTCTTTCACCTCTGTCTCCGTGTCTGGTCGGAATTACAAAGCATTCAAAAAACAATAACAGTAAAGTTTTAAGTATCAGGTGTGACATTAAAGCAGAAGCTTTGATGCTCCACCTGAGAGTAAATCTGTAAGGCTTGTTACCAGCATTCAGATATTAATTCTGTTCACAGACAGATAGGACACGGAAAAACAAAAAGACAAAATGCTAGCTGTTACCGTTCATTCAAATAATTTATGCTAAGCTAAAGCTAAAAAATTCTGCCAGATAAGGAGAATGACTGGACTGGTAACAAAATACTTTTCCCCACTTATCTAACTCTGGGGAATACAACAACAGACTACATTACACTTAAAGTGGCTTGGCCCTTTGTTTAAAAATGGTGGTGGTAACCAGTGTTGGGAACGTTACTTTAAAAAAGTAATTACTGTAGTTACTGATTACTTTGTCAAAAAAGTAACTCAGTTACTAACTGAGTTACAAGATCATAAAAGTAACTAATTACCAACAAAAGTAACTACTTAGTTACTTTTTTCATTAAAGAATGCAAGAATTACTACAATAGTAAAATATAAATGACTAATGACTGAACATAATCAAATGTATCTCCAAATGGTTTATATAAACCTGAATAATTTAAACAAATAAGCACGTAACAGGAGGAACTACTAATAGGAACATTAAACGTATCTAGACTATTAAAAGGTCACTGTGTGATATTTAACAAGAACCCAATCAGCTAACATTTAAAATTGCAAATAGAAACACCTGTAAAGGTTCCCGAGCCTTTAAATGGTATCTCGGTCTAGTTAAATTACAGAAATAAATGTAATTTTGCACAGTATTCTAATTTTTCCAGCTTCACATAATTGTGTGCTTTTAGTAGCATTTCTGTTGCTGGGAATAGCTACTGGAGAGTTCCGTTGTTTACCAACAAGACGACATCCCTTCAAAATAAGAGCACCACTAGCTGACGCTGCCGATGGTACCGGGGTCGACCCTTCAGACGGGCTTTGACGTGCTGTGACCGCTGCTTCAACCAGCTCCAGTACACATCCGAGGTCCTAGGACCTGGCATTTCCTGATCTACCTGGGAGACTCCACAGGGTACGTACACGGCAAAATAGCTGCTCATGTCATCAGCTTCCGAAGCCTCATGGTCCGTAGTCATAACAACCAGATACGCTCCGTCAGCCTAAAGATCCTGAACAAAACACACACACGCACCAACACAACATCCAAATCCATTTTCATCCATCACAGAGTTAGTCCTGGTAGATTGTTAAGAATTTATAATTAAGAAATTAAAGATTCTTAAACGATCCCAACTCTCTCTCTTTTCTTGTCTCAAAGTCAATACAGAGTGTTTAATTAAACTCCCTGATGATAAAAACAGCCCATCTTCTGATTATAAAACTAGATCTACTTACAGTGTATTAAAATACAACTCTAGATCGTTACATCACTCTATTTCACTACACTATTCATCACGTCTTCCTCGTTCTTCACAGCTGTGATGCGCTTAAACATCTACCTCTTTAGCTCCTGATCAGCTGCTGACAGCTTCAACACACCGCGCTGCTTAATGCACGCATTTCCTTATCAGTAACAGAAACTATTGTTTTGTTAAAAGAAGACGTAATTAATTAGTTTGCTCGTTACAGAAAGACATATTTTTATTAACGCGGTTATTTTAAACGGAGTTATTCCCGTCATTGCTTTGTTGTGTCTACAGAATGCAGCGACTGAGACGGTGAGGGTCTCCGCCCACCCGGCCAATCATCATCGTGTTTGTAAGCGCGTTACCGACACCTCTCTCTCCCTGGCTGCAGCTGAAGTGTGGCGGTCAGAAAGCTTCACACTGTTGCTCAACGTTCGACAAGCACATAGTAACGCACAACCTTCCGTCCCCAGTAACGGTAACAGCGTTGCAACGGCGGGAAAAGTATTTAATTAGATTATTTCGTTACCTATAAAAGAACGCCGTTAGAAACGCCGTTATACTTAAACGGCGTTACTCCCAACACTGGTGGTAACGTAATGGTCTGGGGCTGCTTCAGGACTACTTGTTCTTGTTCTGATCATGATGATGTAAAACACAAACAAACACACACACAAGGATGCTCTCTAAAAGCAGAGGCAGAACATTGACTCAACTCTTCACCAGTGATTACTCATCTCTGGCACGTTCTACAGTGCCTGTCTGGGTTCTGCTGAGTATGTATGTGGGTCGTTCAGACTTTCCTGATTTATCAGTAAAGTCAGCATGAAGCAGGAGAGTGGGGGTGGGGCATCATTAAAGACTAAGAGATGGATATCGACAACCAAGCCATGTCCAGCCTAATACACACAAAATAGAATAGATGGAAGTAATGCAGCAGTGATTCAGACTGGGCTAAGAAGTGTTGATTTGGGAACATAAAAAACAATCACAGCATATCAACACAAACAGCTCATACCCAGTCATCAGCAAGACGATGGAGGATTCATGGTTTGGGCCACGTAGTCAGAGTCAACCTGCTGTATGAAATTTTTCTAAATTAGGGAACCTTAAACTTGGAGGTTGGTAAGTTAAGTGACTTTTAAATTCAGTTAAAGTTGACAGGTGAAAGTATTTTAACTGAAGAACATTTCGCTGTTTTCTATGGGTGAAATATAGGACACTCTTCCATTTCCACCAGGCAACAACAAAGACGTCCCTGAAGGCTCGTCTGGTACATCCACCTTATTTAGGTGTAATCAGCGTGCTTTTGCAGTCAGTCAGTGATGTGACGTGCTCCTTTTGCCCCTGCCTTCTTGTGTCTCCTCTCCCCTTGTTAAGTGTTCATTTGACTCACCTGCCCCTGTTACCCTACTCTCTTGTTTCACTGACTGCCCTCACCCTCTGTTTATGCTTGCCTGTGTCAGATCTTCATCCTATCTTCCCATTATGTCATCCTACCTCCCATTATTCTAATAAAGCAGTTATTTTTACTTGCCACTCAGCTTCCTGTGCCAGCTCTCCTGCGTTTGGGTCCCAACCAAACAAAACTTCATGACATGGGTTCTCTTTTTAGTTTTTGTATGAAACACGGAAGAACAAAAACACAGCACCCCATTAAGTCCCTGTGGCCTCAACAGTCTTCTACTTTGCGCTCGTGCCAATAAGGTGCGGTGTATGATAACAGCGAGGAGGGGGAGGGGGTAGAGGAGCTGCAGAGGAGGCTGTGATGTAATGCTGATAGCAGCATCACATTAGTGACAGAGCATCCATGTTTTTACGCGAACCCTGATCACTTTACCACTACAAATCAATGCCACCGCAGGTCTCTGCAGAGTGACTGACACTCTTCCATTTCCACCAGGTCACAACAAAGACATCCCTGAAGGCTCGTCTTGTACATCCACCTTATTCAGGTGTAATCAGCGCACATTCGCAGTCAGTCAGTGATGTGATTACAACGCTGCAAATCCAAACACCTCACCACCTTTATAATAATCCAGTAGTTTCTGACAAAGAGCAGCTATAGGTGGATGCATTGTTGTTTCTCACCTGCACAGAACGGAGCGCAGCGCAACCACAACAGTCCGACCAACAGCGGCAGCAGCAGCAGCACCATGGTCCGCCCAGGACCCCGCTCCTGCACGGACGCGACTTTCACGGTTCGCTCCACATGTGTACCGGTCAGCTCCGGTAGCCTGCGAACACAAGCGGCTCCGCGCTGGGAGAATGCATTGTGTTCTGCTGCAGGGCCAGCAGAGACGCCAAGGTCAGGGTAGACACAGCAAATCAGAACTTCCGGTTTGTGCCTTCAAAATAAAGGTGGATTACTATGGGGAAACGGGCTTTCAGTCACAGCCCATATAATTTTTGAATGTTGTGTTTGAGTGTATAACTTGTGTCATCTGCTAAAAACATTCAATCATCTTGGAATACAATAAATAGTGCGCTAATGTGAAGACTTGAAAATAAAAAAAAACAACAAACAAAACCCCACCACCTGTTTGTAACATGATTATTTTTTATCGTTGAAAAAAATCAACACAAGGTTAAATCATTTTTATTTTAAAAGGAACAAAGAATCAGATCTTCACCCTCTTTTTGATACCATCTATTTGTGACGTTTTTTGTTTGTCTGGCCTAATTTTGGAGGAACTGGGCAGCTTTCTTTAAGCACCCCTAGTGTCCGTTTGTAGAACCAAAAGCAAAATCGCTGTTCTCTTTTTAACCCTTTATAGGGCCACGTCAATATTTAGACACTTCCACTCGCACCATATGATGTTGTTGTCTTTTCACAAACTCTTAGAATTACGGGATTTCACCCAACCAGTCATTAGAGATCAAGCTACACACTTTGGCACCATTCCACCAATCAGCGCCAAATATGGGTGTGTCTGCATGAACCAGAAAACAGCTTGGTCTCCTTTTGTGTTGTATATATGTCGATGGTTGATGGTTAGATCTCTAAAACCAACATTTAGAAACCCTCACATCACAAAGATGACTAATGGTGCTAAATAAGGATATATACACTCAACAAAAATATAAACGCAACAACTTTGTTTCTGCTCCGATTTTTCATGAGATGGACTTGAAGATCTAAAATTCATTCCAGATACACAATATTATCATTTCTCTCAAACATTGTTCACAAATCAGTCAAAATGTGTGATAGTGAGCACTTCTGCTTTGCTGAGATAATCCATCCCACCTCACAGGTGTGCCACATCAAGATGCTGATCTGACATCATGAGTTGTGCACAGGTGTACCTTATACTGCCCACAATAAAAGGCCACCCTGGAATGTGCAGTTTTGTCTCACAGCAAAATGCCACAGATGCCACAAGCATTGAGGGAGCGTGCAATTGGCATGCTGACAGCAGGAATGTCAACCAGATCTGTTGCTCGTGCATTGAATGTTCATTTCCCCAACATAAGTCGTCTCCAAAGGCATTTCAGAGAATATGGCAGTACATCCAACCGGCCTCACAACCACAGACGACGTGTAACCACACTAGCCCAGGACCTCTGCATCCAGCAGGTTCAACTCCAAGGTCGTCTGAGACCAGCCACTCAGACAGCTGCTGAAACAATTGGTTTGCATAACCAAACAATTTCTGCACAAACTGTCAGAACCTGTCTCAGGGAAGCTCAACTGCATGCTCATCATCCTCATCAGGGTCTTGACCTGACTCCAGCTCGTCGCCATAACAGACTTGAGTGGGCAAATGCTCACATTCAGTGGTGTCTGGCATGTTGGATAGGTGTTCTCTTCACGGATGAATCTAGGGTTACATTGTTCAAGGCAGATGGCAGGCAGCGTGTGTGGTGTCGTGTGAGTGAGCGCTTTGCTGATGTCAATGTTGTGGATCGAGTGGCCCATGGTGGTGGTGGGGTTATGGTATGGGCAGGCATCTGTTATGGATGAAGAACACTGGTGCATTTTATTGATGGCATTTTGAATGCACAGAGATACCGTGATGAGATACTGAGGCCCATTGTTTTTGCCGTACATCCATGAACATCACCTCATGTTTCAGCAAGAGTAAGCTGAAAATGTCCCAGTTCTTGCATGGCCAGCATACTCACCGGACATGTCACCCATTGAGCATGTTTGGGATGTGCTTGATCGGCTTATACGACAGCGTGTACCAGTTCCCACTAATATCTAACGACTTCGCACAGCCATTGAAGAGGAGTGGACCAACATTCCGCAGGATACAATTGACAATCTGACAAACTCTATGCGAAAAAGATGTGTTGCACTGCATGAGGCAAATGGTGGTCACACCAGATACTGACCGGTTCTGAGTCCCCAGACCCCCAATATAGCAAAAAAAAAACTGCACATTCCAGGGTGGCCTTTTATTGTGGGCAGTCATGATGTCAGATCAGCATCTTGATGTGGCACACATGTGAGGTGGGATGGATTATCTCAGCAAAGCACAGGTGCTCACCATTACACATTTAGACTGATTTGTGAACAATGCTTGAGAGAAATGGTAGTATTGTGTATCTGGAATGAATTTTAGATCTTTAAGTCCATCTCATGAAAAATCGGAGCAAAAACAAAGGTGTGGCGTTTATTTTTGTTGAGTGTATGTTGTAAATGTAAACTCTATAAAGTTGGTAAAATCATAGCATGAAAATCAAAGCTGCCATATTTGAACATACTCCCTAAACAAGTAAAATAAATTATGTATATTTTTGGGTAAAATCTATTGTTTTTTTTAAACACAATCTTAATCATGGTAACAGTAAAAATGACACACACAAACAAACACACACACACACACCTAACGGATTATCAGGAACACCTGTTCAACTTCTCCTTAATGCAATTATCTAATCAACCAATCACATGGCCGTTGCATCAATGCATTTAGGGGTGTGGTCCTGGTCAAGACAATCTCCTGAACTCCAAACTGAATGTCAGAATGGGAAAGTAAGGTGATTTAAGCTATTTTGAGCGTGGCATGGTTGTTGGTGCCAGACAGGCCGGTCTGAGTATTTCACAATCTGCTCAGTTACTGGGATTTTCACCCACAACCATTTCTAGGGGTTACAAAGAATGGTGTGAAAAGGGAGACCTGGAGAGGTGTGGTTGGGAGGAACGGGCCCCCCTGATCTGAATTTGAGCAGTGTTTTGTTATTGGACTTCTGTGCTAGTCATGGATTGTCCATAATGAACACCATGTTAGGACATAAAGGTGTCCATATGTGCTCTTGGCACCAGGCTACTTTGTTGTTGTTTCATCTAACCCACGGCTGCATGTCTTGGACACTCAAGTGAAGAGAGGGGTGGAGCTGTCAACTAACCACTCTGATGGTGGGGTAGGATGCCAGTCAGACCAGGCAGGCCATACGTATAGTGAGGGTCTGCTGGGAACGTCTTGCAGAGTCTCCTGTCAGAAGGAGCTTCAACTCCCACCTCCGACAGAACTTCCAAAATGTTCCGGGGGAGGCGGGGGACATTGAGTCTGAATGGACCCTGTTCTGTGCCTCCATTGTTGAGGCAGCCGACTGGAGCTGTGGCCACAGGATCGTCTGTGCCTGTCGTGCCGGCAACCCCCAAACCCACTGGTGGACACCGGCGGTTAGGGATGCTGTCAAGCTGAAGAAAGATTCCTCTCAGGTCTTTTGTCCCCGTCTCATGACCCCGGTCTTCCTTTAGGTCTCCTCCCAGTTGGATGTCCTCGGAAAACCTCATCAGGGAGGCGTCCCAGAGGCATCCTGACCAGATGCCTGAACCACATCAACTGGCTCCTCTTGACGTGAAGGAGCAGCAGGTTTACTCCGAGCCCCTCCTGGATGACCGAGCTTCTCACCCTATCTCTAAGGGAGAGCCCAGCCACCCTGCAGAGAAAACTCATTTTCGCCGCTTGTATCCGCAATCTCGTTTTTTGGTCACTACCCAAAGCTTGTGACCATAGGTGAGGGTAGGAAAGTAGACTGGTAAATCGAGATCTTCGCTTTCAGCTCAGCTCTCTCTTCACTATCAGACCGGTACAACATGCATTATTGCAGATACAGCACAAATCTTCCTATTGAACTCACGCTCCATCTTTAGTCTATATTTGATCAGAAATGGTATCTACTGTTCAAAAACTTTCAAAAATATTATACAGAAATATGTTTGTATAAAAAATGCTATATTATTTAATATTTGTGATCAATTCTGTACTATTCTATAGTGATATGTTTTAAAATTAGCTAGATTATTATAAAGTCTTAGTCATCTATATTATTAAAAAATAATGTTTGTTTAACTTATTCAGGTTTTTTATTTTGAGATTTCTTTTACAAGAACAGGGCCAACGTCCATATTTGATCACTTTATTTCTCTGATTTTCGGCATTTAAATAAATATTTTGAAATTTGTAGCAACAGAAAACACTGGTTATATACCACAATAACACCCTGGGATTGAATTTTAAAATTTTAACTACTTCAATGAGTGCCCTATAAAGGGTTAACACTTTAATCTAACATCTGAAATGTCCCCCCAGCCTTTGTGTGGGTAGCCTTTTATCAACCCAGTAAGGGTCATTTTAGCACATACTGGCTCAAGAAAATATTAAGAAATTGCTAAATCTTCTTTTAAACATAAACATTATTCTACTCTATCATCTTCCATTTCCCTTCACTCATATTCCTCTTTTTTGTTCCCATGTTTCCCCCATGTGGTCAGAAGGTATGCTGTTAAATCTACATCGTTTCTATTAACTAAACATATGTCTGCACATTTTCCCCAAGTACATTTTTTACAAATAACATCAAAATGCTTATGATTACAAAAAGCACCACTGGGATTCGAACCCGGGATCACCTATTTTACTAGACAGGCACTGTGACCAACTAAGGTGCTCGACACACCGGAGGCGACAAACGACCGCGATCAATGAAATTTGTCGCTGTCGCTTTTATTACCTGACACACGGGAGACAACCTGTGGCAGCGGCAAAGCCTTCGACACGTTCTGTTCCATGGCGAAATTGAAACTTCCGTTGTTTTGTTTGGCTGTGTCAGGTTGGAGGGAATTAAGGTTATTTAAGTGGTTCCTCAGAGTAACCTTTGACCCACCTCGTGTGGACTGACCAATGAGGAGAGGGTCTTAACTTGAGGCCATCTCTTCATTGGTCAATCAGCATGAAACTGACTCTCAGCCGCTCTCAGCTGGCGTTCAAAGTCATAGGCAGCGAAGCGTCTCTGTGCAGCGCAAAAGCCCGGGTGGACAGTTTGTTTAATGTAGGGTGACCATATTTCCATTTCCAAAAAAGAGGACAGGGGATCTGTGCCTATGACGTCACACTATGGCAACGCCACACAAACAACGGTGGGACCCATTTTTTTTGTAAGAACTAAATTAATATCAGATTCTGCCAATAAAAGGGCTCTAAAACAATTCTTATGTAAATATTTTGCATATTTAATGCAAAATCTCATGTTTCTGCTTTAGTGCTGCAACAAGGTTTTGTTAAAAATAAATTATTATACCTTTTGTTATGCTACAGCATCGGTAAGCTTCCTGTGCACAGATTATTAAGGATGCTTGTTTCAGCTGTGAGATTAGACGATAGGATCAATGAAAAAATAAGTTGTCACACGCTCCAGGGAAACTTTCAGAGAATCCACAAATAGTGGCTTTGAAATGGTTAATTTTTGCAAGTTTAGAAAAGAAGCAGATGAGACAGCATGTCTGATAAGTTAGTTTTTCATCTGATAATATTAGAACAATTGCCCAGTTGCCAAAACCCTTCAACTGCACGATCCCGACCAGGGGTTAGAGTGTTCAGGGTGTCCCAATTCTCAAATGTGGAAGCTGATGACACCCCTTTTGCGCCCTTGATCTGCACTTCACCAAAGTCTGCATCGATGCGTATTTGGGTGAAGTGTATTACCCACAATCCATTGCTGCGGGAAAACAGGCTCAAGTTCCTTTTCTAAAAATATGTATTTTCTAATGAAAGTAGTTCATTTTAGGATGATTAGTTGACGCTCTAAAACTTTTAGACAAAGCAGCAATCAATGTAAAAATACACTGAAGAAAAATATAAATGCATCATTTTTGCTTTTGCACCCATTTTTCATGAGCTGAACTCAAACAGCAGACATTTTTTCTACATGCACAAAACACCCATGACTCTCAAATATTGTTCTGAAATCTGTCTACGTGTGTTGGTGAGAACTTTTCCTTTACCAAGATAATCCATCCCACCTCACAGCTGTGGCATATCAAGGGGCTTATTAGACAACATAAATAAATTACAGGTGTGCCTTAGACAGCCCACAATAAAAGGACACCCTGACATGTGCAGTTTGATCACACAGCGCAATGCCACAGATGTCACACTTTGAGGGAGCATGCAATTGACATGCTGACTGCAGGAAAGTCTACCAGAGCTGTTGCCTGTGAAATGAACTGACTGGTTTTCTGCCCCACCCCCATAAAGCAAAACTGTGCACGTCAGGTTGGCCTTTTATTGTGGGCAGTCTAAGGCTGTTGTTGAAAGTAGGGGGAGAGGCAGTTGGACCGGGAGTGGAGGGGAGCACCAGAGAACCGGCTGATGAGAGGTTGCTCGGCTGGAAATCCACCAGTTGAGGATCGCTGGAAAAAACTTTTGCAATTATTGGACTTTAACAGAGGAGTTATTGATAGGTTTCTCAAGATGAAAGATCAACATTAAAGAACTGAACCACACAGGTGAGTTTCGCATTATATGTTATGTTATGTTTGCTTGTCTTTGTTAATTTGTGGCTCATTTAACATACACGTGTGCATGTGAATAAGCTACTGTTTGCGCGCATGCTCGTTTGCTAAAGTGCTGTTAAGCTGTTGTGGCCCACCTAACTTATCATGCCAGAAACATCACCGTATATACAGGTGCTGATCATAAAATTAGAATATCATTACAAAGTTGATTTATTTCAGTAATTAAATTCAACAGCTGAAACTTGTATATTAGACTCTTTCGTTACACAAAGAGTGATAAATTGTAAATGTTCATTTCTTTAATTTTGATCATTAAATAGATATTAATTTTGATTATATTAATTTTGATTATTATAACTGACAACTAATGAAACTTATGAAATAATAAAAAAAAAATTTGAAAATTATTATCCGGGATCCATTAACTGACCGAGCAGACTAGGCTCCCTATGGCTAACAGACCATGTTGATTGACCAGGAGCTTGCCAAACTGCAAAAGCTGAAGGAGTTGAACCATGCAGGTAAATTATTTTGTGTTACAAGCATGCGCGTACACACACACATAGCCTTTCCACTGGATGTGTAAGCAGAGCGTAACGTAATTTACCCATGAGCTCCCTTCACACCGGGAAACTTTCAGACACGATATGACAGCGAAAGCGTTCCATGCAGTAGGTCCCACAAGGTCATGAAATCACAAGAAAATTGCAGAATGAATTACCGTATATAAATATGCCACACAAACCGCTTGGAAGTAAAAAGGAGAGTAATGTCTTTGAAGGCAAAGCAAAGAAAGCATGAACTACACAAAGAGCTAAAACCAATGAACATCCGTGCAGCCTGCACTCGGAGGCTGTGGTAGTGTTGTTTACTACAGTTGTAATTCTGCTTTCAAGCAGTAGGGGCAGAGGTGGGAAAAGTTACTGTAAGCCGTTTTTAAAAAGTTAAGATTCTTCAATGAACTGGGGGTATTTCATATCAATATCACTTCAACAGAATCCTTTCAGATTGTAGTCATTAAGGGATCAAACATTGTACTGACTTGACAACTAATACAGTTTTAGGTACATTTTGATTAACTTTAAGAATTGGACATGAATTTCAACATAAAAGATCAAAAGTTACCCGTTTAATTACAGATTCACTAGGATAAATACAATAAAGTTGATCTCTCATCTAATAGAATATTTACTAAGAAACCACAATGTAACCATTGAAACATTACACGTGTGTGTGTGTGTGCGTGTGTGTGTGTGTGTGTGTGTGTGTGTGTGCGCGTCTGCTCGGTCTTCTTAATCCCCAGTGAGTCGTGGTGGACGGCTGCTTATACTGAGCCAGGATTCTCTGGAGGTTTCTTCCTGTTAAAAGGGAGTTTTCCTCTCCACTGTCGCTGCATGCTTGCTTAGTATGAGGATTGCTGTAAAGTCACTGACACTTGTCAGTGACTTGATGCAATTTGCTGGGTTCCTTATATAGGAAACTTTTTTCTGATTGGCTTAATGAATTGACCTGTATTGGAATGTTTACTGTGTGAAGTGTCTTGAGACGACTCTTGTCGTGATTTGGCGCTATATAAACTTGAACTGATAAAGAAAAAAGCTGAGATATATATACACACATTTAACCAAATAAAACCACAGACGTTAGTGACAACACATTTCCACACTACTATTGAACAACAAACTGTGGAATTGTCTGTTTCTAATTTATGTGATTTCTATTTGATTTCTTGGTGTTGTCTTGATTTTTACAGCTAAACAGTTTTTTTCTTGGTTGGAATCATGTGCTGCCTTGTTTTCTGTGTGGGTTATCATGTGTTTATTTAAACTTGTTTTGTAACCAAAACTGTGTCCACAATCATCACAGCAAAATGGTTTCTCCCCAGTGTGGATTCTCATGTGTCTGTTTAAATTTGTTTTACGGCTAAATTTTCTCCCACAAACGTCACAATCGAAGGGTGTGAGTCTTGTGTGGATTCCCATGTGTCTGTTCAAAGTTGACAGATCACCAAATCTTCGCCCACAAACACCACAATCAACATGTTTTGGTTCTGAATGAATTCTAACATGATGCTTTAATTGTGTCTTTAGGCTAAAGCTTTCACCACAAATACCACAACCAAATGGTTTCTGTCCTGTGTGGATTCGCATGTGAGCATTTAAAAGTGTCTTTCGGCTAAATTTTTTCAGACAAACATCACACCCAAATGGTTTCTGTCCTGTGTGGATTCTCAAGTGTGTGTCTAAAGTTGATTTATGGCTAAAACTTTGTCCACAAAAATCACATTGAAAGGGTTTCTGTCCCGTGTGGACTCTCATGTGCCGTTTTAAATTTGTCTTTTGGCTAAATCTTTGTTCACAAACATCACAACCAAATGGTTTTTGTCCCGTGTGGATTCCCATGTGTTTTTTTAAATGCGTCTTTTGACTAAACCTTCTTCCACAGACATCACAACAAAAAGGCTTCTGTCCTGTGTGTGTTCTCATGTGTGTGTTTATAGTGGATTGATGGCTAAAGCTTTGCCCACACACTGCACACTCAAACAGTTTCTCCCCTGTGTGTGTTCTCATGTGCGCCTTCAAATGTGTCTTTTTCCTAAAACTCAGTTCACAAACATCACAACCAAACGGTTTCTCTCCAGTGTGGATTCGCACATGATTGTCTAAACTTTCTTTCCTGTTGAACCTTTTACCACAGTCATCGCAATGAAAGGATTTCAGTTTTGTCTGTTTTTTCTCACATGACTCTATATTTTTCTTTGCCTTAAAACCTTTCTTATTATAGATTAAAGATGTGT